TCTGAAAGAACTCGCCCATCTCCAGCAGGATCTTCTTGGCATTGGCATGTTCCTTCTCCCCATCAATGCCTGCCTGCAAGGGAACAGCTGAGGCAGCGGGACCAGGCCCCTGCCCCTCCCAATGCTTCCTGCAGGCCACTGGCTAGACCCTGTGAGGTGCCACCATGACAGCTACACTTCCACATTTTTTAGCTATCTCCTTCTTACAATACGAAAGGAAAACTTGAAGAGCAAGGTCAGGATTGACCATGAACCCGACTGACCACCTCCAAGCCTAGTCCCTTACCTCGAGCTTCAATTCCCCTCTGCTCCTCCACCAGATGCAGTCCCTATAGGCCTCCCTCTGCTCATCTTCCAGTTCCATCTTAGGCCCCATCAGAGGGACTGAGAGGCTTGAAGCCATCCAGTCATACGATACTCGGGGCTCCACCCCAGAGCTCACAGGAGAAACGGTGACGCTGACCCTGATTTACCATGTACATGGCAGCCGCCACAGGCAGGTAGAAAGAATAGAAAGCCGTCTTGTACTTGACAATAGATTTGTACCTGAGCCAGGGGAGAAGACACATTCATGAGAGCAAGGCCCACCCTGAGGCCCTTACCACCCAGATATGGGTACCACTGGCCCTCACCTCTTTTCAGTGTATCTACCAAGATCCACATGGCCCTGGGGTGCTGTTATGAGGTCAAGGGTCTGCCCAATCTCTGTCTGATAGGAGCTCTACAAAGAAAGGGTAACAGATGGTTTCTAGGCCAGGCTTTCTCTAGAAATGGAAAACACTGGCATCCTGGGCCATACCCCAACAGTTGAAACTATACAGTCAGGCAACAGGAGAGAGACTCCAGGCTCACAGCACACCACAGCCTTCCTCGCTGCCTCTTCTTGCCACCACACCCTTCCCAGGCCACCTTAGCAGAGCCAATGAGCCCGTGCCACAGAGGGTAGAGCCCGGGAGACAGCCACAGGGCACCTGCAGAAAGAGCTCCAGCAGGTTCAGGTAGTAGGGCTGCTCCCTGCAGTACAACTTCAGCAGGCGGTAGATGCAGGCTTCCAGAAGCAGAGCATCATTGACAGCATCCAAGCCTATGCCTGGCTTCTGGTACCAGCAGATCTGTCCACGTCGAGTGAGAGAAGAATCCATGATGTCATCTGACACAAGAAAGAAAGCCTGGAGCTGGGAGAAAGAGGGGAGTAAGGCAAGGCTCCTGGGGCCTGCTCGCAGAGACAGCTGCTACTCTGGCCACCGCTGTACAGGTGGGAAAGTCAGTGTGGGGACCCTGACAAGTTACAGGACCTCCTCTCAGATGCCACATGCTGATGGACTAAAATTGAGCTATGCCCCCTCTAAATTGCTCTAAGACACCCTTGCTAGCAGGAAGAGCAAAACTTCAATGAATTTTTGTCCAAGTCAGTGACTGCATTATTGAGTTTTAGGCAAACCTGACAAGTGATAGTCATTTGGGAAGAGGGAGGGACCCTCAAGTGAAAAAGGTGTCCTAGCCCAACTATCCTGTGAGGAAGACTGGGAGGCATTTTCACTATGGGCGACACCCCTGGACAACATACCCATGCCTTTGATCCTGGCACTCAGGAGATAGAAGCAGGTGGATCTCCGTGAGTTCAAGGCCAGCCTGGTCCACAGAGTGAGTTCCAGAACAGCTGGGGTCACAGAGAAATCATGTCTCAAAACAAACAAACAAACAAAAACAACAAAAAAACCAGAGGGAGAGAACAGAGGCAGAAAGAGCAGGCTAAGCGAGTCATGGAGAATGAGCAGCATCCCATCCGACATCTGCATCCTTTCCCATCCTGACTTCTCTTGGTGATGCTATCTGGAAGTGTAAAATCAAAGAAACCTTGCCTAGGTTGCTTTTGATCACAGTGTTTTATCACTTGAATAGAAACTTAAGACAGGTTTTCCTTTTTAAAAAAAAAAAATGGGTCAAGAGATGACTGAGCGGTTAAGAGGTCCAGTGGCCACTCTTGCAGAGGGCCGAGTTTTGGTTCCCAGCACCCACATGACAGCTCACAACCATCGGTAGTTCCCAGTTCCCGGAGACCCAATGCCCTCTTCTGGCCTCTGTGGGCACTGGACACACACACATACAGGCAAAACACTCATACACAAAAGTCTTCTAGCCGGGCGGTGGTGGCGCACGCCTTTAATCCCAGCACTCGGGAGGCAGAGGCAGGTGGATCTCTGTGAGTTCAAGGCCAGCCTGGTCTACAAGAGATAATTCCAGGGCAGGAACCAAAAGCTACGGAGAAACCCTGTCTCGAAAAATAAAAAAATTAAAATAAAAAAAAAAGGCTTCTAATCATAAAAGTTAAAATTTTAGTTAAATTTTTTGAAAACTCTATTGGGCAGCCCCCCTCTCGAATCCTCCAGCAGCCCCACGGCATTGATTTGCACCCTCTTCTGGGAGCAGAGGCTGGGGATGAAGATCAGGCAGGGTCCGAGGGGTCCCTAAGCCTCCTCGAGTTCCAGGAACACACCTACAGCACCTCGCTGGCAGAGCCCTACGGGCCAAACAACAACTCTTCTTCTTTAGACAGTCAAACCCTTTACCTGGCCAAGAAAGATCATGAGCTTCTGCCTTGACCTCCACATCCCTGGTCTGCCAGCTTTTCCATTGGGCAGGGACTGAGCCAGGACACCACAGAGAGAGGCAGCACTCTACCACGCTTGCGGCTTTCCTGGCCTTACATACCCTCCTCTCAGCAAAGGGCTCTCCTCAACACAAGATGTGCTGTCCCACTGTATGCCCCCAGAGTCTAGCACTGACCTGAGAGTGGTACTTCCCAAGAGCTCTGTTAGGGATATGGGAACAGAACACTCAGCACCCATGAAGCTTTTGGTTTTGTTTCCTTGAGATAGAGCCTCATGATGCAGGACGAGCCAGGGTGGTCTCTACCTCAAGATCTCAACTAGCCTCAACACCGAACTCAAGAGTGCATGTTAACACCAAATTCTCAGTCAGAACACGTGATTGTTCAGCAACTTCTCAAGACAGGGCAATCTCGTTACTGGATTATTGCGCTGTGTCCAAAGTGCTGAGGACGGAACCCAGGGCTTTACACACGGCAGGAAAGGGTTTTACCACTCATTTTTAACCTGCCTTCCCGCTCCAAAAGGATGTATTTATTTATTATTTTTTTAACTTTTTCTATTATTACTGTGTGAGGGGCAAGTGCATGTTACAGCACACACGTAGCTATCAGGAGGACGTCAGGGGGTTGGTTTCTCTTTTCATCTGTCCCTAGGCTCTGGGGATGGAATTCACTTCGCTGGGCTTGTTCAGCAAGTGTGTTTACACACTGAAGCACCAGCCCTTCAGCCATTGCTAGGGGCAGGGGCTGTGTCTGGGTGCGGGTGCACACCACACAGCACAGCGGGAGTCACTCTCTTTCTTCTTTCTTGAGTTTCAGGGGATCAAACTCAGGTCTTGAGCCACCTTACTGAGCCACCCTGCCATTCCTATATTTTCAGAAGTCTGTCACTACACCGGCTGGTGGTGGCAGGGCACTTGGGAGAAGAAGTAGGCACAACTCTGAGTCTGAGGTCACCCTGGTGTACAGAGTCAACTCCAGAAAAGTCAGTGCTACACAGAGAAACCCTGTCTTGGGGGAACAAAAACCAGAAATCTATCACTACATCATTCAAACACCACAAATTGGTCCCCTAATAGACCCATAATTCAATAAGTCAGTCTGAGCCAGGCATGAACGCATACGTGGAGGCTGAAGCAGACGGTTTTGAGTATGAGGCTAGCATGAGCATGTGTACAGTGAGACCCTGCCTCAACAGCAATGGCCTGGAGATGCAGTTCAGGGATGAGAGTGCACTTAGCACAGACAAGGCCTGGGCTTCATCACCAACTTGGAACCCCCTCCCCACCTGGAAAAAAGAAAACAAAAATAAGCCATAGACATTCAAGGGTCAGGGAAGCTAACCACGTAAGACAAAACGATGTGGGGACCCAGGCAAATCAGAGCTATCCATACATGGGAGCAAGCATCCCACCTCAGGGAAGCAGCCTTCACTTTATTATGTATACAGTGTTCTGCCTCCATGCATGCTGGGAACTGAACTCAGGCCCTCTAGAAGAGCAGCCAGTGCACTGAGCCATCTCTCCAGCCCCAGAAAAATCATTTCTAGAAATAAACATGATGTCAAAAATCTGGGTTGTTTATATTGAGGAAGGTAACCCAGACCCAGAAAGGCAAATATCATATGTACTCACTCATAAGTGGCTTTTAGACATAAGCCAAAGAAAACCAGCCTACAATTCACAATCCCAGAGAACATAGACAACAATGAGGACCCTTAGAGAGACATACATGGATCTAATCTACATGGGAAGTAGAAAAAGACAAGATCTCCTGAGTAAATTGGGAGTATGGGGTCATAGGAGAGGGTAGAAGGGGAGGGGAGAGGAAGGAAGGGAAACGGAAAAAAAAATATACCACAAAAAGCAGGCAAATTCGGGGTGGTTCTGTTATGAGTTGTTACAAGTTTGTACAAGTGTGTACATGCCACACCATGTTTTGTGGTATGTACATGCTTATGAGTGTTGGCATATGTGTGCATGTACATATACAAGCTTATTTGTGCAAGTTTGTGCTTATGTTTGTGTATAGTGTATGTTTGTACAAATGTGTGCTTATATGTGCATTCATATGAAGGTCAGAGGTCAACATGGATATCTTCATTAGTTTTTAAATTTTTTTTTAAGATTTATTTATTTATTATGTATACAACATTCTACCTCCATGTATTCCCGCATGCCAGAGGAGAGCGCCAGATCTCATTACAGATGGTTGTGAACCACCATGTGGTTGCTGGGAATTGAACTCAGGACCTCTGGAAGAGCAGCCAGTGCTCTTAACCTCTGAGCCACCTCTCCAGCCCTTAGTTTTTAAATTTTTATATATAGTTTTGTTTTATAATAATCTTTATGTATATTTTCACACATTTGATAAAGATGTCAAAGTTAGAAAAACTATGGAATGCTTCATGAACTTGTACATCATCCATACACAAGGACCATGCTAATCTCCTGTGTATTGTTCCAATCTCAGTAACGTGCTGCTGGAGCGAGCGCTATTCTATCCATCTTGGTGTTGTCTGCACACGTCTGCCTACCATGTGCATGTCCAGTGCCCATCAAAGTCACAAGAGGGCATCAGATCCCCTAGGTCTGGAGTTAGAGACAGCTGTCAGGCACCATGTGGGTACTGACAATGGAGCCCAGGTCCTCTGTTTAAGTCATGTTCTTAACCACTAATCCGTCTCTGTAGCCCTTCCGTGTCTACCACTGAACCTGTGCTAGACCTCCCGGCCAACCACCACCGGGAATCCGTGTGTCTTATGTGCCCAGCACAGTTACAGGTATGCACAGCTCCATGCAGACACCGAGGAATGAACTCCAGTGTTCATGCCCAAGCACTTTACTGACAGAGACACTGCTCCAAACCCTGGAAATCATCTGGTTTGTATGTCTGTCTGTGTTGCATGTGTTTATGTGGGTGTTTGTGCTATGTGCACACATGGAGGCAACCAGGAGTCTCCCACATTCTCCACCGTATTTTATATTTATCTTTCGAGAGGACCCTTCCGTCACTAGCTCAGTGCTCACTGACAAGCTATACTAGCTCGTGACTAAGCTCTGGGGATCTGCCTGTCTCTGCTCTCGCCAGCACTAGCACTACAGGTGTGCGCCACCAACCTGAGTGTGGGCATGTGTGCACCAGTACACGGGAGTAGAAGCCAGAGGAAGATGTTAGGTGGCCTGTCTATCACTTCACCCTTTATTTCTTTTTGTTCTTTGAGACAGGGTTTCTCTGTATAGCCCTGGCTATCCTGGAACTTGCTCTGTAGACCAGGCTGGCCTCGAACTCACAGAGATCTGCCTGCCTCTGCCTCCTGAGTGCTGGGATGAAAGGTATGTACCAGCACACCCAGCGAGATTTAAGTTAAAATTTTCTGAAAATTCTGGGTCCCTAGTGTGCACACTGCCTAAATCTGACCATAGCACATAAGAGACAGACACATAGAGACAGGCAAAACACAAGCGTAGGATACACTTTCCCTGTCTGGTAACTGCCTCTCTCCACACTTCTTACCAGTTCTACACACCAGCCCACAGTCAGGGCCCGCTGCAGACTCTCGGCATCCTGTTTCCTTGGCTCCACCAGCTCCCGGAAGGCTTGGAGCACAGTCAAACCCCGATTGTACTTGCCTCCCACGGCATTGTACTCCAGGACCTGAGGCGGGCAGAGAGGACAGCATGGGCCACAGAGATGTTTCCTTTCCTCCTCCCTTTTTATCCCAACCCTGCCTTGGAGAGCTCCTTCTCCAGAGTCCTGTGGCGCATGGCACCATTCCCCAGGACCCACGTACCTGGTGCAGATGCATACTCAATTTTCCACCCGCGGCCAGGACTTAGAGCACCTCCACACAAGGCCCCTAGTAGGAAGGGACCGCTAATTCCTATAATCGCAATACTCTGAAGTTGGATGCAGGCAGGCTGTGTAAGTTTAAGGCTGACATCAAGATATAGAGTTCAGCCAGCCTTGGCTACAGAAAAACAAAATGGCCTCTCCATTTGGCCAAATCTGGAGGGGATGGCAAGGTTCAGAGCTATTTCTATCTTTTTTTTTTTTTTTAACATGCACTGGTAAAAAAATTTTGCCTGCATGTGTGTCTGTGTGAGACTGTGAGATCTTAGAGTTACAGACAACTGTGAGCTGCCATGTAGGTGCTGGGAATTGAACCCGGGTCCTCCAGAAGAGCAGTCAGTGCTCTTAGCCATCTCTCCAGCTCCAGAGCTATGTCTAAGCCAAAGGCATGTCCTCCCACTGTGCCTTCTGCCATGCAACAAAAGTACCTAACTAGAGACATCTCTTTAATACCTACACAGTATAAACAAAGAAACTACTCTCCTTGTTTTTTCCTCAAAGATAGGACAGAAACAACATTTATAAAAAGAACTCCAGACCTAGGCACGATGGCACTCTAGCAGATACAGCACACAGGCAGGGGAGTTTTGAGTTTTGAGGCCACAAAGACTAAATAATAAAGCTCCCTTAGAAAGATAAATCCAAGAGGCTAAAGAGGGAACTCGGCACCCAAGGGCAACTGCAACAGTTCCTCTCCTGAAGACAGGGCTCTATGATAACCTCAGCTTTCCTAAGGCCTCAGGAACAGCTGCTTAAGACCAATCTTAGAATTTCAGGGCACAAAATCAAAGGCTTCCCGAGGTCCAAGGCTCCACTCCCAAAGCTTCCACCTTCTGCAGAGGACCCACCTACTTCAGAGGAGACTCAGGGAAAAGCTGTTCCTTCCACTCTTACCAAAAGCCATGCAAAATCCACACCTCTACTGGCTTCTTCCACCCTGAATCCCTCACCTCCTTGAGCCGGGCAATGGCATCGCCTGTCTCCGGGTGGCCTAGCTCGTCCTCAGTCAGCACCTTGACAATCTGGGAGAAGTGCTGGACGAAATCCTCCCTGTCTTGGTTACAAGCCTCCAATTTCTGGTTCCCATTCATTCTGAGAGAGGTACAAAATGCTCTGAGGGGGAAAAAAAAAAAAAAAACCACATACACACACAAATGAGAAGTCTGCTAGGGCGCTTCCCTCCCCGAGGCCCCAAACCCCAACCACACTCACCGAGGCTCCTCTGTCCACACTTGGCACCACCAGCGGGCACTGTGCCAGGCCCCCAGGACTGGACACCTATATGCCAGGGAGGGTCGTTGTTCGGAACCAAGACACCTCTCCCGGGGTGCCCAGCAGGGGGCCGGCAGCAGGAAGACCCCCGCAGATCTCAGCCAGCGGGACAAGGGCATCGTGGGTGGGCATGGGGGCGGGGGCCACCAAGCACTCCCTGCAGGAGGAGTAAGCACCAAAGGTAGACGCTTGGAAGCAGTTACCTCTGGTATCCCCACCCTAAACCAAGCCTTTTACCTACTGCATCAGAATGCCCGACCCTGTTTCTGCTTGAATTTAAGAATTACAGAAAAGGCACACAGGAAATAAAACTGTATGTAGGGGTGACTGAGATCCAACAGATTTTCACTTCAACTGAAATGGCTAAAACAGAACGCTTTCTGCTTTCCAAGGCTGCATACACAAGGCTGGAGAGACGGCACCGAGAATTAGGGGATGGAAGATCGGTAAGTCACACTATTAATGGAAAAGCCAAGCTGAATTTCTGGGGGTAGTTGGGTAGCTGAGCCAACGCAGAGCATCCGAGGGGTCCGCGTGCCGGGAGGCTCAGGCTCTGCGCTACGCCTAAGGAGGGGACAGGAAGCGATGGTGCGGCGGGCGTGTGGTCTGCCTGCCTACGATCAACAGGTGGGCGTGGGAGGGCTCAGCACTAGCAACCCGCGGCCGCCGCACCGAGGACTTGGGAACACACCAGCCAGAGTTTAGAAACTGACGAAAGCCCGAGAGCCGCTCTGTCCGACCCACCGACCGAAGACCGGCAACTCCTACACAGCCTGGCCCTTCGGCGCCTCACAGCTTCACCAGGTCTGAGGCAGAAGCAAGAGTCGAATCCAGCCCGAACAACAACTCTCACCTGCTCCTTAACGCGACTTCTCCCAGGTCCGAGGTGTTTGCAGCTCACACCTAAAAGTGGAGCGCGCTTCGCACTCAGGACTCTGGGGCCTGTAGTTCCCTGTCTGTCGTCTCGGTAGGTAAACCCTAAATATTAAACTACAACTCCCGGCATGCGCGGACCGCGGAAACTGCAAGCGTGTCAAGCTGGGCGGCCGTAGCCGGGCTCGCTGATTGGCTGAGTGACCTCGTGTGAGCATGGGCCTTGTGACGGCTGACCAATGAGAGGGAGGCGCGCAGACCATCAGCCCACTGAGAGGTGGGTGGTGTTAGGCAACAATACACCTAGACCAAGAGTCTGGGAATTCGGACACGTGGTTACTGATTGTCACTCTTCCAGTGTATCTGGTTGACATTATTAGTAAGACCCCGGAATAACCAGCCTTGCAGCTTCCTATTCTTAACTCAGGCAAATCATTTCTTACATCTCTGACTCCACCTCATTTCTTCAGCTCTGAGAAGGCTGAAGTTCCAAGCCAGTTTGTGTCATACAGTTTTAGGCTACTCTGAAGACTATATGACTATGAGAGAAAAAACAAAAAGCCTTCATCCTAGGGCTGGAGATGTCTTAGCCATTAAGAACACCAACTACTCTTTCCCAGTGTCTGGGTTCAATTTCCACCACTTACAGGACAGCTCGCTATAGTCTGTAACCTCAGTTCCAGTAGGGCTGATGCCCTCACACAGACACATGCAGGCAAAGCACCAATGCAATTGAAATATAAATAATTTTTTTTTAAAAAACACACCCTCTCCCGCAGGTGTCTTTTGGCTCTCTTGCAGGAAAAAAAAAAAAAAAAAGATAAAAACCCAGAACAGAAATTCCAACCGTTGCACAGAATTTGCTAGCTTACCAGGTTGATTGCTATCTCTGTATTTCCTCCCAAACTGCTAAGTGTTTTCTGACCGACAAACCTCTCCACCAACGCAATAATCCCAATCAGACCAAATTAGACTGAATTAGAAGATGCCCAGGTGTAATGAATGCCAGCACTCCCGGGTTGGCCCCTGGAAACCATGGAAAAGGGGAAAGGAGAGCCAGAAAGACCACCTGAGAGGACAAAAGGCGGACCATGAGTTCATTTTTTTGCTGGGCAGTTTAAATAGCCTGTGGGAGTGGTCTTGAGCCGCCCTTGGGAGGAGTCACCATTTGGCAGCTTTCTCAGAGGTGGAGTTTGGACTGAGGCACCTCCCAGAGGGAGGGGCTTGAATGGAACTTTCAACCCAACATTCCAAAATGGGTGCGAGGAACTGGGGTGAAGCCAACCAAACATTCCAGTTTGGATAAAGAGGTGTTGGCTCAAGCCTGGCTGCTTCCTGCGGGCATGGGGTGATGTACAGGAGGAGAGAGTAGAAGTTGGTAGGCTCAGCTCAGTGAGAGGTGTGGCTGGAGAGGTATCTGGTTTACTGACATCCTGGAGACCTCACAGCTGTTCCTTAGGGAGATGAGAAGGCAGGTGGCTAGGAGAAAAAATATAT